CCACCACACCCGGCACTTTTCCCTGCAACCGCAGGAAGTGCTACACCTGCCCCCATACCTCCTCCCTCACCCCCATCCCAGGCCCCAAGAAGACTTTCCACATCAAGCAGATGTTCACCTGCACATCTGCCAACGTGGTATACTGCATCCGCTGTACCCGGTGTGGCTTCCTCTACAATGGGGAAACCAAGCGGAGGCTCGGGGACCGCTTTGCAGAACATCTATGCTCGGTTCGCAATAAACAACTGCACCTCCCAGTTGCGAACCATTTCAACTCCCCCTCCCATTCCTCAGACGACATGTCCATCCTGGGCCTCCTGCAGTGCCACAACGATGCCACCCGAAGGTTGCAGGAACAGCAACTCATATTCCGCTTGGGAACCCTGCAGCCCAATGGTATCAATGTGGATTTCACAAGCTTCAAAATCTCCCCTCCCCCACCGCATCCCAAAACCAGTCCAGTTCGTCCCCGCCTCCCTAACCTGTTCTTCCTCCCACCTATCCCCTCCTCCCACCTCAAGCCGCACCCCCCATCTCCTACCGACTAACCTCATCCCGCCCCCTTGACCTGTCCGTCCTCCCTGGACTGACCTATCCCCTCCCTAACTCCCCACCTACACTCACCTTTACTGGCTCCATCCCCGCTTCTTCGACCTGTTTGTTTCCTCTCCTCTATCCATCTTCTATCTGCCTCCCACTCTCTCCCTATTTATTTCAGAACCCCCTTCCCCTCCCCCTTTTCTGATGAAGGGTCTAGGCCCGAAACGTCAGCCTTTCTGCTCCTATGATGCTGCTTGGCCTGCTGTGTTCATCCAGCCCTGCACCTTGTTGTCCCTTATTACAAGATTCGCTCTAGCAGTAACCAATTTGTCAGGATGGAGGGTCAGGGAAGGTATTCTTGGATCAAAGTGTGAAGTATGAACCACCAGAAGCACTGAAGCCCTCACCACGTCCTAGGCATGTAGAATCTATTAGGTGTGTAATTTTGATTCTGAGGATGAACTGAGCCCCATGCATTTTTGCAAAGTTAACTATAACAGCAATTTCTCCATGAACATCATGAATTGGCAATAGGTTAAGGAATTTATTTCATCATTCCACAATGCTGTATGACGTGGACTGATGCTTCGCATTCCAAAGGGTGATTGCCTTGAATGAAGTTTATAATGTATCAATTAGTCACATACAGCAGTACTCCAGTTCCAAGCAGGATCCATTCCTCAATACATTCATAAGTTCATTTGTGCATAAGTCAGAACACAATACAGTGCAATATAAGATACTGTTTATAGGTGTAAGCAAACATTTGCATGTAAAATCCTTAAAATTAATAGTACTTATAAATCTGGTTTGTAAGTATGAGCATTTGTAAGTTGGGGAACCCTGTATAGTGTATCCTTCACCTTTATGCTGCTCACTGGCTGTAAGATGGTGAAAAATGGGTGAACAATAGATGATACCCTTGGGAAATGGTAGTTTGGCAAATTTTATGTACTCTTAATTTTTTGAATGTGTACCTGCAAATATCTCCATTCTATCTGCTCCTGTTAGACAAACTGCAACAAAGCAAGTTAAATACAACATCAGATAATCACCTATGTTTTAGACTATGAGCCAAATGAATATATTTCTTAAAAGTGTATACTTTAACTGCAAAATGGACTCTCTCAGTTGAATACAATAATGCCGTTGAAGACCCCATGTTATTGAACTTGTTGTGGCCTTGGCAAAGCTGTTCCAGTACAGCTACAACTCTGGCATTGACCCGGCAATGTGGAAAATTTTCCCAGGTGTGTTCCGTCCATAAAAAGCAGGACAAATTCAACTCTGCCAACTACTGCCTCATCAGTCTAGTCTCGGTCATCAGCAAAATGATGGAAGGGGTCGTCAGTAATACTATCGACCAGCACACGTACAGCAAGAACCTGCTGAGTAATGCTCAATTTCGTTCCACCAGGGCCACTTGATTCCTGATCTCTTTAGACACTTGATCCAAAATTGGCCAAAAGAGCTTAATTCTGGAGGTGACTTAAGATTAACTACCCTTGATATCAAACCATCATTTTACTAAATGTGGTACCAAAGTGCCCTAGCAAAATTTCACATGAGAATTGGGGAAAGCTCTCCACTGGTTGGAGTCATAACTAGCACAAAAGAAGATGGTTGTGTTTTTATTTTTGTAGGTCAATCACCTCTGTATCAGGACTCTATGCTGAGGAACACGTGTAGTGGTGTCTTGAGCCCAACCATGATCAGCTGTTTTATCAATGGCCTTCCGTCCATCATAAGATCAGAAGTGAGGGTCTTCATAATGACTACATAGTGTTCAGTGCAATCAGAACTCTTCAGACATTGAAGAGGCCTGTGGCCGTATGCAATCAGACCTGGATGATATTCAGCCAACTAATGAGGGCAAGCTGCAACATTTGTGCCATGTAAACGTGAGACAGTGACTATCTCCAAGAGACGAACTAACCGTCTCTCCTCGATGTTTAATGGCATTACTGTTGCTGAATACCCCATATCAGCATCTTGTTAGTTACCGTTGGCAGGAAACTCAACTGAATCGGTCATAAAGACTGGTTAGAAAAGCAGGTGAGAGGCTGGGAATTCTACAGTGAATAACTCACTACCTGACTCTCCCAAACTGTCCCATGCACTTCCTATTTGCCTGGATGAATGCTGCTCCAGTATACTCAAGAAGCTATAAGGTCTTCAAGACAACAACCTGCTTGATCGGCACTCCTTCCATCGTCAATGCACAGCAGCAGTGAGGCACAACTGCAGCAAGTCAATTTGGCTGTTTCTAAATCCGTGACTTCTACCGCCTAAAAGGACAAGGGCAGCAGAAGCATGAGAACAACACCCTTGCAATTCCTCTCTGCACACCCCTCCCCCAAAAGCCACACGCCATCCGATGTGAAACTAAATTACTGGTCCTTCTTTGTTGCTGCATTGTTCCTTCCTTTGACATACTGCACCATGTAGATGGCACTGATCCAAGATAGCAGCATTTCTCAAGGGAAATTAGAGGTGAGTAGCAATTGTACTTGCCAGTGATATTCTCAATGTATGAAAGAATAAAAAAAAACAAATTCAAATTTATTAGGAAACCAAATCTTGTGCAATATAGTGTCTTTGGAAAGGTACATGCACAGGTCAGATGTCTTCCAGTTTAATTCTGAAGGAAGATTATCTTCTGCCTGTGTTTCACCTGCTTGAGGAATAGATTTGTGCTGTTTATTGTTGACTACATCAAGCATAGAAAGGAAGAGGGGCAGCACTTTTCGAAAGGGGGTTAAAGCATTTTTTTTTTTTTTAAATAGCTAATTACCCCTGTCTTCACCTTTCCACAGTCCTGTCCTGAATACAAGTGCAGTATTATATGGAAGAAAAATGGACCATATGCAAGTGTTCTGGTCCCCATGTTGATTGTAATCTGAAAGGAAAGGAATCCCTAACAACTTTAATGAAAGGGATCTAGTGACAAGATTTGAGATTTGAAAATTTTTTACTGTAACGGTCAAACCCCAAATCAAAACCAATTCCGAATGCCTTAACAGTTTTCCATTCAAAGATGAATTTCACTTCAAAATATAATAAAGATAAGTCTCATGAAGTTTCAAGCATATGCTTCACTCCCGCCACATTGGTAGCACCACATGCAATGTCCAGTCTTCTAACTTGCCATTCAGTATTTGGGAGCTTTCACTTTTCCCACTCAAATTGAATAGCTGTCATTGGCAATTCTAACAGAGAGCCCCAGCTACAGTTATCATGACAAGGCATGTTACTATACACCCTCTGTCATCTACAACATTAATGATGCAGTTTGTCATTTCTAATCTATTTAGGAATGTGAGCATAAAAGGCAAGGCCAGCATTTATTATCCACCCATAATTATCCTTCAGAGGTTGTGGTGAGCTGTATCACTGAACTGATACAATCCTGTTTGAGTAGGTACCAGGCCAAGCAGCATCATAGGAGCTGAAAACCTTTCTGCTCCTATGATGCTGCTTGGCCTGCTGTGTTCATCCAGCTCTG